AAACTCTAAACCCTAAATCCCTTGCATCCTTGGATAGAAGCCTGAATTATGGTCACGATTTGAAGTATTTCTAACGGAACCCCAACCCCGTAGAACCCGTTTATAAGCCAAAGACGACCCAAAACCTAAGCTTTAATTGAACTCCGTTACAAAAAGCCCGATATCCCTGCTTGAAGGCTCAATGGACTTGGCAAGCAGGATTTTGGAGGGTTACTGTACCTTTCACCATCATTACTTATAACCTACTTACTAAGTCCCATGGTCGTTAAATCACATAGAAATAGGTGCCTTTACAATTAGAATAGGGTTTTGGTACAATATAGGTAATTATGTTTAGGCCCCTATAGGAATCCCACCCCCCCCTCAAAAAAATCCCGACCAGGCCTTCCGGGCCCCCGGATGCTCCTCGGGTCAACTGCAGATTGCAGGATTTTGCAGGGGTTGGCCCCAGGATAAGGTTTAGGGTTCAGGGTTTGGGGGCTTAGGGTTTTCGGGTTTTGGGCTTCGGAAAACCTTAACCGTGAACACTGCAGCCCTACAAAACCCTGAGCCGTGGAGGTTTTCACAAGGTTATGATGGCACGTTTCCGTATATGCGTGTTTTTTCTCCTTTTCGCTGGTCCGAGCTTCAATGACGTCTTGGGCCGCCATCAGCCATCATCCTCCTTGTTTTGCAGGCGTCCCGTTCGTTCTTTGCCAGGAGGAGCACTTTCTCCGCCAGCTCTCGCTGATTTTTCTTCTCCTCCTCGAGGGCGGCCTCCAGTGACGGGATGAAGTCCGCAGCGGCCACGTCTTAGAGGGCGCTCAACGTGGTGGCCGCCAGGGCCGGCGGCCGGCGTCGAGAGCGCTGCCTGCAGTGCTCGCGGCGTCGTCGTGCCTGAGCTCACCCGTGACGCTTTTGAAGTGATGATACGACCCTTCCCGAGCCGGGATCCCTCTGCGATGCTCGCGGTCTGAGAAGCTGGGGACGGCGCCTGCAATTGCCATCTCTCCCTGCCTCCTGCATGCGGGATTGCTTGCTTGACACTTTCGCTGCAAGCCGTCTTGCCATTGCCATCTCTTCGTCCTGCACGAGGGACTGCTCGCTTGACCCCTTTCTTGCAAGCCGTCGCCTTGTCGAGTGGATGGGGACGGTGCGCGGCTGCTGGCTTGGCTTGAGCCGAGTGCTTATCCGAGTTTTCGTGGCGTGGCTGAGTTCATGGCATGTTGAGTGCATAGTAGTGCATACATGACACTCGCATACGTCCTCAGTCTTTTGTACTGTCCTGCTACCTGTGGACACGCGTGTCTTGCCCCCCGCATACACTCGCCTGGCGACATAGGTGTACCAGTGGCCGCTGTGCCACCACCACCAACTCCCGTCTGACCTCGCAAGGCCATGGTGCATGTTTCGGGCTCATGCTTGCCCGGTGCATCTAAAAATTGCCGTCCTGGACTTGAATGGCGTGCCGCGTCTTCCCAGTGCGTCGACACGATCATGCCCATCTGGCGAGCTGGGGAATGCGCGTTGAGGCTCGGTTCCGATGCCCTGCCACGCGATCCAAGCTCCTGGCGATGCGTGCGCGACGAAGCGGTGCCGTGGGGCGATAATTCGCTCTAGGTGCGCTTGCCGTGAGCAGAAAAGTTGCTGCGTCATGCAATGGTTGCTGCCGCAAGCTGGCCAGCACGCGAGCGGAGGGCGGAGGCTGTCCTGAACTGTGTTCTGAAACTGCATCCCACGTGCTCGTTGTCTTGCATGGCCTCCTTGCTTTGGCCTCTGGGTGAGACTGTACTGTAGATGAAAACAAAACAAGCCTAGGCCTCATAGGTACTTTTCCCGCTTAGTCGACACTCCCGAGAATTTCTGCTGGCTTCATTTTCCCCCCATCCGTGGGCGCGCAGCGTCGGCTTGCGGTTTCGCAGGGTTTCAGTGTTCAGGGTTGAGCGTTCCCCTTAACCATGAAACCCTAAACCCTAAAACCTTAAACCCCCAAACCCTGAACCCTAAACCCTATCCCGGGAGTTATATTCTTAGCAGAAAACATGCACACCGCAACCCACACCGCACACCCTGTCTATATCTGTCTATGAACCCTCCCGAAACCCCGAAGTACCTACCCAAAGGGTCCTAGGTACTGCTATGGGGAATACTTCCCCAAACCATAATAGTCTAGTAATTCCTATAATATAGAAGCCCCACATTCTCCTACATAGCTACTTTGGACCCTTTGGGGCTAGGAATAAACCCGCACCATCCCCCACCCAAACCCAGAAACACGCAGGCCCAAACTTAGCCCGAACCCTAGTCCACTGAGAGCCGAACGACGTCGATGCATTGGACGTCTTGCGAGAATGGTTCTGGGGAGACCTCTTCTTAGGATTTCTCAACAAAAATGAGCCCCTTCGATAGGAGGAAGGTGCTCAATTCGGGGAGCGGGATCTTTGAAGCTTTGCGTGTTGCTAGACCCTGAAGGATTAATGTTGCATGTCCTTGACCATCGAGAATGGAATTTCCAGAAACAACACGGATCCTCACTATGGTTCAAAAGGTGCACTGGTTTGAATTTTGGGCCTTGTAATTAGACTTCGGGCTTTTCGGGTTCTATGTACAAAAGCACTGAAGCATGTCATCAGTCCCCTAGGTCACGGCATTTGGTTGATTCTGGGGATTGGGGTTTTGGGTTTCAGGACTAGCCTTTGTGGCTTTTCGATCTATGTGTTCCTGAGCGAATCTCGGATTCTGGATGTTCAAGTGAGTTAAGGGCCGGGAGCTTCTGTCGGTCAGGGGTTGCCCTAAACTCTGAACCGTACATCTCATCTAAACCCCAGCCCTTGAAAGCACTCGAAGGAACTAAACCCTGAACACGACAGCTGGACAACGCTGAATCCCTCAACGTCAAAACAACGGTTCCGATATCAGGATAGTACCGCCGGAAGGGTGAGGGACCACGGTCGGGGGTTTCGGGTTGACCCTAGCCCCTAAAGTAAAAGCCAGAAAGTTGGAATATGATTATCCGAAACCCTTTATGGTAAATTATAAGATAGCCTACCCTGAAACCATATTCAAACTTTCTGGAGTTCCCTTTAACCCCCCCCCCCCAACACTTGAAAGGAGATCCGGAGGTCCGACGATCTTCGAAGCCTCGACCCCGAAGTTGCGATCCCTGGCCTGAAACACAAGCTAGGATGCCCAGTAACCCAGGCTTTAGGGGTTCCCTTAAGGGATCTATAAGGGATCTATAGTAGGGTTAGGGTTTAGGGTTTAGGGATTTAGGGGTTTGGGGTTTAGGATACCCAGTAACCTAAGAATAAAAAGGCCTCTCTTTTTGGTATTGGGTAGCTTGATAAGGAACCTAGGACTACAAAAGGGAATAAGGGTACTACTGGGCATCCTAGCAAGAAACCCAAACCCAACATCACGAAACACACCAGAAAACAGGTGTAAGCCCTAACCTTGAAGCTCAGATACCCCAAAAGCCTTTATATACTATGGTCTTTGGGCTCAACAGCATCAAGATATGAGTCCTTAGAGCCTAAAAGGGCAAAACACTACAGTAAAAAACAGTAGCCCCAAAAATGGTTTAGTAGGGTTTAGGTTTATAACTTATAACTCTAAAGCTAACACTCTGTTCCTGAGTAGCCCCTTTTTTACTAAGGATACCCTTTTGCCTACTATATTTCGTTTTTCATACGGGAACGCCCCCCGAAAAAGAGCAAAAGGGTATTACTGAGGAACCTAGAAATCCAGCTTCAACCGATGAGGATGCCTCCCGTCCGCACGAAGGGCGGTCAGGGAGTCGGAAGCGTTGCTGGTCGTGGCCTGCGAGGTTCGGAAGCAGCAGGAGTAGAGGCAGTAGCATGGCTAGTAGCAATGCAGTCGCAAAGGCAGTGGTAAATGCAGTTGCAAGAGCAGGGGCAGCAGTAGCAGCAGCAGCAACATGAGCATGAGTGTGTGCACGTAGTAGGTAGTCGTCGTCATCGTCAGCACCTCCATCGTGGTCGTCGTACTTCTTGCTTCTGGTTTAGTGGAAGTGGGTGTGGGTGGCTGTAGCTTTGCACAGCGTAGATGTTAGGACTAGTCCCAGAAAGACCGTACGGCTTCATGTCAACGAGCCTCCGTCGGTGTAAGACCTGTAAGGTAGGGGCCTGAATAATTGGAATGGGGAAGTTTTGGGGTGTATTCTACTATAACCATATTAAGGAACTCCCAAACTAGTCTAGGGAATTATTTGGGCCCCTATAGATTACTGAAACCTTGTCGTTGCCTGGTTCGAGAAATTGAGGCCAAACCTGCCCTAGAAAAATAGGACCCCGATGAAGTTCCAGGTGCCTAACAAACAACAATCCAACACTTGCACTGAAATCCCGCCAGAGAACACCGAGAACAATCTTGACGCCAAGCCTTAGCCAATCACCCAAAGCAGAACATGTGGCAGCGAAGACAACCACCTATTTAGAGGATCATGGGACTTAGTAACTAGGGCTATAGGCTATAGGAAGGGTAACTGACTATACTTATATAGCTACTCCTACGCCCAATTAAGGTACTTATAACCCTACTTACTAAGCGCATGGTCCTCCAAGTACAGCAGCCTGTGGGCTTCTTTCTTCGATGGGACGAAGACAATGATAGAGGGGCCCGAGCAATCAGAACAGGGTCTTGCGGTACGTTTTACTGTGGCCATCTTTTCACTGGAGAACACTAGGGAATATTACCGGCATCTCTAAACCCTAAAACCTAACCGTGGTATTTATATCAGGCTCCTCTATCATCTAAAGTCTGTCGCCACTGCTTAGCAGTTGGCAGCTTCGTTTCGTCCGAGCCATACCCGGGTCAAGACAAGGAAAATCGCCTGGCCTTCCCCTAGGGCTCCAAGCATACAAATAGTACCTACTTTCGGGTCTAAAGTCTGAAGATAGTGCCTACTTGGGCAATTTGGAGCCCCAGGGTTACTACGTTGAAAAGATGGCCTCACCCAAAGCCCAAGAAGCTCGGGTTTTGTCATCCATAAAGTCCTACAGCTACCATGGCAAGCACGCAGCACAGGCAACCTTATTGGGTGGATGCTTGCAGACTTCTTCTGGCGGAGAGCCGGCATCCTTCTCACAAGGGCCGTCATGGGAAGCCTTGGTAGCTTCGGGCTCCAAGGGGGTAAGGGGAGATGTGGCTGTGACCGTATCCATCATGATCATCAGCACGGAGCCAACAAGCAGAACCACTCCTGCTAGCGTCACCGCATCAGGGAGGATGCCAAAGACCAGGATTTGTCCGATATAGCCGAAGAAAATGTCTCCGCATGTCACGACGACTCCGGAGGCGCCTGCAGGTGCCATGGAAGAGCCCAAGCTTAAGAGAGTGGCCTGTACAGCAAGCACGATGGCCACGCCGAGGACCCAGAGAACGGCCCAGCCTCGATGCGAACAATGCACAAGATGCGTCACCCCTAAGCCTAAACACAGGCTTAACAGTACTAAATGAATGCGATCTTTCGTGTTCAGAACTGCGACTACATACCGTCGCTGAATTCAGGGTTCATCATACTCGATCTTGACGCTGTGCCCTACTCCGTAGTCTTCACGAGTGGCCGGCATGATCGTAGAGCTTCTCCAGGGAGGAGGTAAGGTCCCGCTCCCACAAAGGTAGCACTGCGAGAAGGAGCAGCGAGGCACCACGTTGCGATGTCGAGGAAATGGAGGAAATCACGGGCGATACCTGGAAACATCAGGTTTTACAGGCACGTCACACGAATGGCAGACGGAAGCTCTCCACGCGTACCATAAACCCCAAATGCCCCGAAGCTGTCCTAGAACCCTGAAGACAACGATCTTAAAGCCCGTCTATATATAGAGCCTTGAAGCACCAAAGTGTCACAATGCACTCGGCCCTGTGACATATGCCCCTGCAGGTTGGACTACGCCAACTCTCAGCCCGATTCCGTGACTTCGAAATCCAAGGCTCTGAAACACCCCCCAAACAGACATCAGAGCATATTATATTAGCTTGCGTCATACTTAATCTTACGCCATATTACATTATCAACATTATGACAGTATCATGGTTTGTGGTAGAGTAAGATCCTTGTTGTAAAGGCCTTGAAAACGGACCTTTCCCCCGCTCGTTCCCAGGATCTGCATTCTACCAGATCCATAACTTGCACACTTCCTGTTCTACAAACTCTGAGGGCCCATGTGCCCACATAGTACATACTTTAGGCCCAATGTACCTATATAGGGAGAAATGTAATTACGACCAAAGTATATACTAGTGGGGTACATGGACCCTTGGGGAAAAGCATGGGCGCCTCGTTCCCGAGCTTTCTGCAGCACACAATGATACCACTCAGTCCCAATCCCGAGGCAGCAGCAAAGATGTAGCCTCAGGTGGCAGCTTTCAGCTGAAGCACAGGTGGTTTGCGCGCTCACAGTGTCCGGTTTCGGGTTCGTGGGTGTGGTTTCTGCTTCGTTGAAAGGGCTCGTTGCTACAGAACAACTGTTGCACCACGAGGGAATGGCTATAAACCCTAAACCCTAAACCCCTAAACCCTAAACCGCACGCACTGCACTCCAACATAGGTTTTGTGCATGGGCTCGTATTTAGTCAGGCTCGAAATTCAAGCCTTTGGGAGCTTCCGAAGATAGGGGACCCCAATATGGTACCCTAAAGGGTAGGATCCTTTTTATCAGGACCCCAAAATGAGGTACCCCTAATTTTCGGAAACTCCCATATAGCGTCGGAGGTCGAAGGTCTATAGGATTTGTGGGTTCGAAGTTGAAGGCAAAAGCTGCGCTGAAAGCCCAAAGCCACGCCCGCATGCTTGGAGCTTGCTTTGCGGGGCCTATATTGTATTTGAGGGTTCATGGGGTTTCGGAGATATTGCTGTCAACGTATCTCGCGATTGCTACTCTCCGGAACGATGTTCCTGTCATTAGTTCATGCAGATCCCACGCCCCTTACGAACAGGGCCAGCCGGGGAAATCATTTCCGAGATTAGGGTCCGTTGCACGGCCCTAAAAAGCCAGAAGTCCTCAAAAATGATCCTACCAAACTCTGAGCCCTAGCCCTACTCTACACTGAAACCGTAAGTTTGAGTCGACCTGCAATTGCTTACTCGGGGTTTAGGGGCGCGGTTTAGGTTTTAGGGTTTGTGGCATTAGAATAGAGTCCATCCCTGACTTCCCACCCCAAGGCTCTGAATGACTTGAAGAGCTGAGAGGTCTGCAAGGAATCATCAGATTTCAGCTGTAGGCGTGTTTGAGGGTATTAGGCGGGGCGGTCTAGAAGTTCGGGTTCCGGCTATGACGCTTTGGGGCTTCGGGTTTAGGGTTCAAGCCAGAATTTTTTCCAGCAAAAACCCTGCATCTTCTTGGCAAGAGGCCGAGATAGGGCTGCTCTGTCACAGAGGTGAAGATAAACCTTCTCAGAGAGGCCATTACCCCTTATTTCCTTATCTGAGGAATATGCTTTACAGAATTAGCGTCGCAAAAAAACTAACCAGAACAATCATAACAATCAAGGTAAAGTCAACATTATGTCGTCAGCAATAATGGAATACGTCGTAGGGTTGCCAGGCACCCAAACCACTGAGCCCAGTCACTCTGGCTTCGCGACCAGAACTGCCCCAAAGGTGGTCACGAACACGGAAGCAATCTTCAGCTTCCCGAAGGCTTCTCCAAACAACAAGCCTCAGATTCAGGGCTCGGCAGCTCGAGTTTAGAGGTTAGGGCTAATGGTTTAAGTTTTCGGGATTAGGGATTAGGGTTTAGGTGTTAGGGATTAGAGTTTAGGGTTTAGGGATTAGGGCTTATAGGGTTTGGGAGTTCGGGATTAGAGGCTACTCCGGGGGTCTAGAGTCTTGGGAGTCTGGTTTTTGGGTCTGGCCGATTCATGGTTCATGGAGTCGAACCTGATAAACTGCTGCCTGAGCTACGAACTTCCTATGAATCCTATGAGTAGTGAGACGCTGCAAAAGTTTATGCTTGTTTGCTCGTTTGGTCCCTACGTACTATATATAAAATAGGACCACAGGGAAAGGCTTCAAATGCTGGCCACCAAGAAGCATCCAAGTACAGCCGATGCGAACACGTTGGTGCTCGAGATTGCCATCGTATCACCTGCTGGGCAGTCGAAGAAGGTAGCCAACACAGCACATACCAGTCCGACGACGCTGGAAACGCCCCTGGCAAAGAGCCAGATCCGCTGGTTGTTCTTGGTCGGCCACTGAATTTTTCGTTGTCGCACCAAGGCCAGCAAACCGATGGTAACGACACTATTGGCCTGAGCTGTCCAGCTCTTACACAGATAAAACACATGCGACGTACATACATACAGCATACATACATACATACATACAGACAGACATAGTTCTGCGTAGTGATGTATATTTATACATGTATGTGCGTAAAAGATGTGGGTATGCATCTGCGGTGCGCGTAATGCATGAATAGAACAATACAAAGACCCCAAGGGTCTAAGTACCTAATAATCATATACTCTCCAAAATCCTAACCTACATAACTACTATACGAAAACCGAATACCTAATTATCGGGTCCTTTGGACCCTTAGGGAACCCAGAGACTCCAATATCCCTTAATTAGGGATTATTCCTTAAATTATAGTAGGACCCCTAATATGATTTAAGGAATATTCCTTAATTAAGGGATATTGGAGTCTTTGGGAAGAGGCTCACAGGCAGACGAAGCGGCGAGCCCAAGCATTGCTAGGGCAGGCCACTCTTGTCGCTCCAGCCACTCGATGGCCACAACCACCACCTAAATGGCCCACTATACTATAATTCGAATAAGGAACCCCCAAAATAGTATAGGTAATTACTAAGGCCCCCATATACTATACTGAGCTTAGAACCCTAGCAAAAAATGTAATTTTAGCTGTTTCTTAGGGATTATGATAACAAAAAAGTTAAAAAGTATTTCCAAGTACCCCTAAGCCACCACGAAGGTGAGCGATCCTCCAGCCGTCGCGAGGAGTCCCAGCAGATGTTGATGACGGGGCGTCATTATGCTTTAGTGCTCAGGGCTCATATGGCCTTCGGGTTTAGGAACTGTGGGCTTAGAGACTTTAGGCTTTGGGGCTTAGAGACTCTAGGGTTTGAGGCTTAGAGACTCTAGGGTTTAAAGCGCCGCTCATAGTGAAGGGGCTTACTGAGCTTAGCGTTTCGGGCCAGTTTGGGGCTTAGGAGTCGTCGACGCTGCGAACCTGCACGTGCTTCGGCGAGGCAAGAACAGAATCTAAGCCCTACACCCCTAAAGCCTAAATCCTTATGTAAACCCTATAAACCCTAAACCCCTAAACCCTAAACCCCTAAACCTCTTTGTAAACCCCAAACCCTCTCGCTCCCGAGACCCTAAAATAAACCTTGAGCCAGGATGGTTTAGGGTTTAGGGTTTAGGGGTTCAGGGTTTAGGGTTTAGGGTTTAGGTTACCTGGGAATAAAATTGCGCGCCCTTTTTGGTGTGGGGTAACCTTGTAAGGAACCTAGGACTACGAAAAGGGAATAAGGGTACTACTGGGCATCCCAGTGAGGACCCTGTGCAGCTGTAGACGACCATACACGTTTTGCCGGTTCATCCGGGCCCCTACTGCCTAGTTTCGGGTTTTGGGATTTCTCGATGGGTATGGCATAACTGTTTTAAATTCTGGGCCGAAGCCCGCGTTGGCGGCTGAGGGTCTTGGGCGGATCCGGAACTTCTCAGCACGAGCAAGAAAACCGAAAAATTGACCTCTCCAGGCCAAGCTTAAGGCTTAGGCTTTAAGCCCCACAGCAAGCACACCCTAAACCCTAAACCCCCTAGCTTCCAAACTATACTGAACTTAGAATCCTGGCAAAAACTGTAATTTTGGCTGTCTCTTAGGGATTATGATAACCAAAAATTGAAAATTATTTCTAAGTACCCCTAAGTAAACCCAAAGCGTCGGAAGAGCTCGTCTCAGGCCTCAGCACCGTCTTCGGCATCGGGCGCACCCGCTGCTGTTGCCTGTTGCAAGATAGGCAAAGTACGCATTCCCTAAGGCTCCATGTGCCCATTTTGTATATACTTAAGCCTTAAAGTATCTATATAGGGACCCCGTTAAGGCTTAAGTATCTACAATAAGGGTACATGGAGCCTTTGGGATTGTGCATTCATGAATCTATCCACCCGCATGTGAACCCACATATCCCTCCATCCATCCATCCATCCATCCATCCATATAGGCGACCAAACATGCCCATGCACAGAATACGTAGTTAGATAGCCATAAGGTAACTGCCGTTGTTGGTAGAGACCCTGACACCTCGGAGCCAGCAGGGCTTTCAAGCCCCTGTTTTTTGTCAGGGTAGATGCTTCCCGAAAGTTTCCAGCGTGAAGTACCGACACCGCACCCGTTTTCAGACCTATGATGACCTAAGTTTAGACGATGAGCAGTGTCGTAGTTCCTTAAATCGATCCAGCAATGGCTCCATAGGCTCTAGGCCTCTGGGGTCTTTATTTCGATTCCTTCAGCATACGGCTTTACATCGTTCTTCATTCTTACGGGCCTCTCGAATACAGTTTAGGGCTTGGCGGTTTACGGTTTAGGGACACTGGAACAGAATCTAGAAGCCTAATCACGGATCGGATCCTAAGCCCTTAGCCCGAGCATCGACTCAACCGTCAGAAGGGATCCAGGACTGAAGAAAGCCTCTTATAAATCCTCGAAACCTTCTAAGAATCCACGAGATCCTGAAGTCAAACTCTGGACTAGAATCCTGAACCTCCACCCCTTCAAACAGAATAAACACCCCTCAACTCCCAACCTCTTGCAAAGTCGCCTCGACCTCCGTCCGTGGCGCAGCAGCAGGGCCGGCAGCCCCAACGGGGCGTCGCTGGGGCGCGCGCGGCTCCGGCCTCTGTGTTTGGTCTGCAGGAATCCAGGGGATCTTACGTACAAAAATGGGGTGCCGCGTGTGCATGCTGATGCGGACATCGCAGGGCTCATTAGGCGCAGCCGTGATCTCGAGCGACAATCCCGCTAAGAACACATCTGTGGGAATCTACACCCTATAGACACCTGCATGGGCAAAATCAGTCAGCAATCGAATCGACTGCTCTTGAGCAAGACAAGCATCAGAACCCCAAAACCTATCCCTAAGAAGACTCTGCAGACCTCCACAGGGCTTTACGCAAAGCCGTAACCTAAACCCGTAATCCTCTGAAGCTTAATGCTTTGAGCCTAGGCCTCCAACGCAGCCAAAAAAACTAGCTGCGAATCCTTGAAATCCTGAACCCTGAGGCTCCATGTGCCCATGTAGTATATGCTTAGGCCTTAAAGTGGCTATATAGGGACCCCTTGAACGCTTAAGTACCTACTTTAAAGGTACATGGAGCCTTTGGGTAATCCTGTTTATACTTGGAAGCTCGAGAACTCAACCAAGTCCCGAAATCCTCCTAAACCCCTTTCAAAGCCAAAAAACAGACTCCATAGATTCTAGCGCCTCTGCTCGAAACCCCATTAAACCACTATAAACCTGAACCCTATAAACCTTTTTTTGTTTCGGACCACAAAATAGTGGTACCCCTTGTTTTCGGATACTCCCACATAACCACATGCATAACCCCAAACCCTAAACCCTCGACATAAACCCTAAGCCCCAGACCCTAAACCCTGAACCCTGCACCCTAGACCCTAAACCCTCAACCCTGCACCCTAAACCCTAGACCTTACACCCTAAACCCTTCCTCCGAACTTCCCAAATTTTGCCCGATGCCTTCGCTGCCGCTCCGTCTCGCTGCCGGCGCGGCCGGCACCCAAGGCTGGCGCAGAACACAGAAAACGGCATTTCGTGTAGGGGCCTTACTGGTTAGACTAGGCTTCCTTTAAAGGGGTCTACAAGGGCCATTATAAGGATTTAGCATAGAGGCCTTTATAGTTAGAATAGGGTTCCTTCAAAAAGAACACTTTCAAGCATCTACAGGGAGGTTCTATAATATAGGGGCCTTGATAATTATGGAATAGGGTTCATTCAAAAGGGTCCTAGAAGGGTAGGGGGTACTATAAGGCTACTATGATATAACCGCCTTGAAAAATAGAATAGGGTTTTGGGGCCCGTTATACTATAAGTGTAATATAAGGACCCCCCAAATTTACTATAGGGAATGATTAAGGCCCGGGGCGGCGGCATTTCGGGGGTTTAGAGCCTTTCGGGATCATAATCATTGGGTATGGCATGTAGTAATTGAAGGTTTGAGGATCTTAGGAAGTGAGAAGGTCAGGGACTGAGGGGTTAGGGGCTGAGGGGTCAAGAATGCGAGCTTCACGATGTCTTCAAGAGTTTACAGTAAAAGCCAGAAAGTTGGAATATGATTATCCTAAACCCTTTATGGTAAATTATAGGGTATCCTACCATGAAACCATGTTCCAACTTTCTGGAGTTCCCTTTAAGGGTGTGGGGAGCAACAGTTTGAGGGCTTTGAAAGGGGAGGTTCAGGAGTGCCGCGTCTGGGGGCTTCCGACTGCTCCTAGTAGCAAAAACATACCTAACTGGGTTGTGGTATTGGGGCCCTCAGAAGTATTTTTGAAAAGGTAGGTCTGTAGGAACCGTAACGGACATGTTGAAGTTTCCCAAAGTGCCACCTATACCTACTGTAGATGAGGATCCTGTGTTGCAGAGAAGTCCGCACTTCGTTCAACATGGGAGTTTCCGGAAATAGGGGACCCTAATACAGTACCCTAAATACTAGGATCCCTATTACAAGCCCTAAACCCTCAACCCAAAATAAGGTACCCCTCATTTTCGGAAACCCCCACATGGTGCCCAGGCCAGTGAGGATAAGGCGCCAAATTGGGAGTTTCCGAAAACTAGGGGTACCTTATTTGGGGGTCCTTATATTAAGGATCCTCCTATTTAGGGTACTATTTTTGGGTTTAGGGTTAGGGCCACTATTTTCGGAAATCCCCAATTGTGCTATGCATGGAAAGCGCTACCCAAAGGCCCCCAAAGTAGTTCCTTTTTTTGGGGTTCATAAATAGACTCCTATAAGGTAACCCCAAAAAGGAACTAGTATGGGGCCTTTGGGTAACCGTAGGGCTCAAAAGAGCAAAGGCCTTTAAAACCAGGAGTCCTTAGAGCATAAGGGCAAACAACTCTCATTGAGTCATTGCAGGGCATGTGAAAGCGCCTGTCAGACATCTGTCACAGCGCACTCTCGTCCGGAACAAATCAGTGCCTGGAACAACGTGAAGCCCTCAACACTCGAGCCCTGCAGAGCACAATACCCAACCAAACCCTGAACTCCCACAACCCGAATGAAAGCACTGACGTATCACCCCCGAGACTGAAGCCCACAGCCCCTACACCGTGAAGCCCCTAATGTCGTGGAATCTTGAAGCCCTGATACTGCTGAGCCCTACCCTTCAAGATCTATAAACCATGTCATGTAGAAGTGGATAAGACCTCTCTGACCCCGCAACCGTGAAGCCTCAGCTACAAGATGCCATAGTAGCTCGCAAAAATCTAATCAGACCCTGCAGCAGCGTGACTTGAGGGCTTAGGGTTAAGGGACTTAGCAAGACCCACATCACAAAATAGCATTAGCTTTCCGTCCTGGTCCTGTCGTTCGCCGGGGTGTTGGCTCTTGGCCGGTGGATGACCTGGCAGCCAGGTCTCGGTTGCATGGTTTTGGGGTCCTTGGCATTAAGGCCTTGAGGTGCAAGCAGCCCCTCACGCGAAATTACCCCCCCACAGCATGATTGAAGCTCCTCCGAAATAGTAAGAACACGAACATGTACAGTAACAATAACAACAGCACTAGCAATAACAATCATAGTAAACATAACTAACCGTAATAGTCATAACAGTACTCAGAATATTGATGACAGTAACAATCACCATAGCAGTAGTCGTCGTCGTTGTTGTAAAAATACAAAAGCAACACTAGCCATAATGAAACGCAATAGTCATAACTGTAGCCAAAACAAGAATACCTGTTTGAATGACAATAATAACGATGAAAACAAGAGGAATGATAACAAGAAGAAT